CTTAATGAGACGGACGAAAAAAGTAAAACGGGACAAAGTTAAGGGGACGGATGTAGTAATAGAGGATTGACTTTTCCAATGGATATTTCTCTCCTACGTCTAAGTTACAAGAAATTCAATCGGGAATTATTCTTAAGAACACTCAACGGTCTAGACACAAATCCAAGAACACAAATTAGTGAGTATATGATTATTATCTTTTGATTTGAATGTCAAAGTGATGAAGATATATGTTTTACCTCCTCTCATTCTTTTGTATGAATTATGAAAATACATATGCATTTGAACTCTTGCATGCAGTTTAGACCCATTCGGGAATAATCGTAACACTTTCTTTTGTAACTCAGGCATCGAAGATTAATATTAATTTGCAATGTGAACTTACAATGCCCTTAACAGGGCCAGCTCCGGGGAAGGAGAATCAGTCCCACTGCACATGGCCTCAAAAAGAGAGGACCGAAAAAATAGTACTAGTATTAGGGAGTAGTCAGCAGCCCAAGTCCAAAATAGAGTCAATCCGGAGAACACCTGTGTCCAGAATAGAATGAGCGTTGATTCAACCAAAGGAAGGAACGTAGCTTGCGTCGAGGGCTAGGCCAGACACCCATTCGGCCATTCTGCATGCCGCAGCAGTCACCGGCTCACTGCAGTAATCGGCCAAGGCCACCTCCGTCCTTCGTGACCTCCGTCTATGCCTCTAAGGACACCACCGCAGCACACCGGCAGTCCAGGCGGTTCAGCATTGCACCTCCGTCGGTCCGCCGGCTCAGCAGTCTGCACGCCAAGTCCGACAAGTCCCACTGCAGGTAAGTTAATCTAATAATCTATTCGACTATTTTAATTGATTTTCTTATATGCTTGAATTATTAGAAAAATAGTAGATTCTTTATTATTTATGCCTTAAACCTTCTAATCTATTACTCCATATGAAATTTAACAAATTAGGTATTGAGGTTGTTATTTTTTTTGTGTAATTGTATGATGAATTAATTAAACTATTTATATTTAATAATTTGGTGTAAATGTAAAAATATGTTATTACTTATTACTTTGGTGAAATCTAATGTCACTTTTTTCATGAAATGTATTTTATTATTGAATGCATTTGTTTTTGCTATTGTGTTCAATATTAACTCGAATTTTGATAGAAATTCACAGTAATTGATTACTATTACCATTATCATTTATGTTATATTTCTCCTTGTGTTAGGAAATAAAGACTCAAATTTTTTGGTCGCACAAGGCATCTATTTTTCCTGGACCAACCTTGTCCCCTATTACAACGACCTAACAATCGAATTGATATTTTTTTTGTGATAATCACAAGTACCGTGCAAGAGATGACATCCAAATTCAGCAAAATGGAGAAGTTTTGATAGAATGATTTTCGTATATGGTAGAAGAAGATGCACGTCCTTTTCACGTTTTTGAAGATTGTGTACATGTTGAACACTGGAATCAAAAGTAACGGAAGATGAAACTTTGGATCAAATTAGGAGGTGTAACAAGTGGGAAAATGATGACTACATTTGTAAAGGACACATTCTTAACGATATATGTTCGAAGCGTTATTTGATATTTATCAAAACATTAACAGTGCGAATGAATTGTGGAATTCTCTTGGGTCAAAATACATTGTCAAATGTGTTTCTAGTAGGAAGTTCCTAGTGAGTGATTTTAATGATGATTAAATGGTTGACTCAAGGTCGGTTATGGAACAATACAATGAACTCTTTCGTGTTCTTGGTCAATTTACGGTCAACAAGATAGGTATTGATGAATCATATGTCGTGTCAAGTATAATTATCAAGCTTCCACCCTCTTGGAAGGATTTTAAATGTACTTTAAAACATCAAAATTAGGAATATATTGTCATTGGTTCATCTTGAGAGTCACTTGCTCATTGAGAAGTCTCTTCGTGTGCAAGAGAATGACAAATTTAAGTGTGAAGTTGAATTTGGGCAGCCTCGTGTTCACTTCGTTGGGGATACGAAATCTAACTCAAACAATAAGGGGAGAGTCAAGAAGCGCGAGTATGAAGATCACGACAAATCCAACTAGAAAACGAAAGATTTGATTTGTTGGAGATGTCAAAAGGTTGACACATTAAGCGTGATTGCAGTGTGAAACTGAACAGGAATGAGTCTAGAAGAAGTGGGAGTGGATAATGTAATGATTTCCGTAATTCCGTTAATGCTTTAATCGGCCCTACCTAAACCAGAACCAAACCTGGGCTACCAAACCTAATTCAGACCCAATGTAATGGGTCATGGGCAGTCCATTACTCATGATCTTATGGATAAATGTTCGATTTAACATAAATACGGCCTTGACCAGACCGATCACACCCCTACTTTATCCTAATATGTCCTTTGTAATATACTTCCTTCATCTTATAGAAAACTTGTGCAAAATATTGACCATGTGATTGAAATTTGTGCATGCAAAGTAGAGATATAAATGGCGTTAATCACATATTTATTACTTCATATGGAAATGACAATCTTTGTATAATTCATGTTACTTCTTACAAACACGCAAAATAAATCATATCATCAAATTATGGTGATCGATCCAAAACGGTAATATAATTGTCAATCACCATGCGTATGATGAAGTTGTTAATACTTTTTAGGATCATTAGCTAAATATATTCTAAACTACCATCAAATTCACAAATCTATCCCATACTTTTACTTTTATTAAAAAACACTCAAACTTTAATTTTTTTTCACAATTACACTTTCAACAGATGAACTAGTAAAACTTAAAAATAAAATCATATTTATATTTAATTTCACATTTTTCACTTACTACCTCCGTCCCACTAAGATTGGGACAAGAGAAAGTGACGCGATTATTAAGAAAAGTGAGTTTATGTGGTTTATATTAAATTGACAAAGTAAAAATAAACTTAGAATGATTTAGAGCCACACAAAATTTACCAAATTTGGTATGAGACAATCTTAGTGGGACTTCCCGAGAAGGTAAAATGAGACAATCATAGCGGGACAGAGGGAGTATATCTTATTGGTATTGATAAAATATGTAATTTTGTAAAAAAAAAAAAGAAGAAGAAGAAAACCATAATTGTTAAAAAAAATGAAGTTTGAGTTTTTTTTATAAAAGTGAAAGAGTAAGATAGATTTGTGAATTTGGTGATAGTTTGGGATAAAATAAGCTAATTATATTGCCAACTTAATCAATCATATTATCAAATTAATTATCAATATTTATTACTTCCTCCGGTTTTTATTAAACTTCACACTTTCCTTTTTGGAACGGTCTAAAATAAACTTCACACTTCCTTATTTCCTTTTTTGGCAAAGAAATCTACATCAAAACAGTACCAAACAGTGTCAAACAGTGTCTCAACAGTGCCAAACATTGTCTCAACAGTGCCAAACAGTGTCAAACAGTGCCTCAACAATGTACTCTACAGTAAAGTCAAATTTCTTTCCTTATTTTGTGTGAAGTCAAAGTGTGAAGTTTAATAAAAACCGGAGGGAGTACATGATAGAGCAACGTCATTAATCACATCGTCTCATTATGATTATCTATCTAAAATGACAATATAATTGTTACTACCAATCACTCTGTGTCTGTGTGAAACTACAATTTCGAATAAGAGTCATTTGTGTGAATGTCATGCAACAAATAAAATCATTTGCGTGACTCTCGCCTTTCTTTAGGAACACTCTAGCATCATCATTGTCTGTTTTATCAAATATTGCTCCTCATAGCATCCAAGAATAGTAAAGTAATTGAAATGTAAAAGTTGTGTTTGAGATTTGAGTAGAATAAAGTGAAATGATAAGGATCTCATATTTCTTGCCAAAAAGGAAACAAGACATTCATTTTGGAACAACCCAAAAAAGAAAATAGGACAACCAAAATGGGACGGAGGGAATATCACATAACCGATCAGAGAATTTCACTTGTGATATTTTTATTATTTTCTCTTATTTGAACACATCCTCTCCGCCCTTTCGGCCTTTCCCATAGTTGACTGGCACAACAAAAAGTATAGGGAAATGTTGGATTTGACCGGAAAAACATACCTTTCATTGAAACAAACAAAGGATAGTTCAGTTAATCCAGTGATGAGAAATTTAGAATAATGACTAAGGATCGAAACCCGCAGCGACCGTGTGGAGGTTACAGCTCCTGCGTATTGGCTTGGACCTCTGGTGCGCACAAGTATAAAGTCTACCACCATTGGACCGACTGAGTCACCGTAACTTACGCCTCCACCGTTCTGTCGGGTCAGGGTGTGGGAGCTCATGAGGTGGGAGATTCCCCCTTTTTGGAACAAACAAAGGGCAAATAACAATACACTAACAATTGAGTAAAGACAATAAAGTACAACCGAAAAAGTAAAATGACATGATGGGTTTTAATTTTATTTGTCCACCCAAAAAAGGTTGGATCCCCAACTCCAAGCATCCACATGGCCAGACCCGACAAAACATATATAAGGATGTAAATCAAAGTGATTCAGTTAACTTTTCGGTCGCTGCAGATTTCGAATCTTGGTCAATTCTTCAATTTTTTCAGCACTCAACCAACGAAGCTATTCGTGTGAGTTTGAGTTTTAATTTCATGTAATGAATATACATTGAGGTAAAAAAATTAAAGAGTTGAGGAAACCTAAAAAGTTTAACATCCTTATAATTACACAAACTTTAACCAATTTGACATTCTATATAAAACAATCTTAGTAGAATATATAAACCAATGAAAATGGACTATTTAGGATATTTTTACTTGAACTGTTTTCAGTCTCAGACCAGACTAGATGAGACCAGACTAGATTTGGATAATTACAAAATATACAAAAATCAGACTTTTATCAAACAGATCAGATAAATTCAGATCGGACCAGATCAGACAAAAAAATTCGAATACAATAAAAAACATCATTAAACAACAAAAGCTTCCGTGAACTACAACGTTACACGTGTCTCATTTGAATACCACGCGGTTTAACTGTCTGTTTTCCCACCCATCCGTTTTCTCAACTGTACAGCTGACGTTACCCGCTCTCACCTTTTTGTTTAAACCTTCAACCCATTTCTTCCACGTCTACGGTATCACATGTTCGGCATGGCTTCCCCAATTCAAGCAGTTCAACCCGGGCGGGTCCGGGTTCTGAAGCATGCGGCCGGACCGCCTCCGGCAGTAGCCGGTCCGGTGGTGTACTGGATGTTCAGGGATCAACGGGCGAGAGACAACTGGGCATTAATCCACGCCGTTGATCAGGCTAACAGGGCCAATGTCCCTGTAGTGGTTGCGTTCAATCTGTTCGATCAGTTTTTAGGCGCCAAAGCGCGGCAGTTAGGGTTTATGCTCAGAGGCCTCGAGAAGCTCGCACACCATCTCCAATCCACTCTGGATATCCCTTTTTATCTATTCCAGGCAAGTTTTTGTTAAAGTATTTGTCTTACTTAAAGCTATAAAACAATAAAACTCTTTATAAGACTTTGAATTACTCTTCTTATTAGATATTGTGCTTTCCATTGTTGTTATTTCTCATTGTTGTTATTGTTTTTTTGTGTGTGTTTGATTGGACTCTTGAGCAGGGAGAGGCTATAAGCACAATCCCTGACTTCTTGAGAAAATGTGGTGCATCTCTTTTGGTCACAGATTTCTCACCATTAAGAGAAGTAAGGAGCTGGAAAGATAGGATCTGTGAGGCAGTAGATGGTTCTGTGACGATTCACGAGGTTGATGCGCACAATGTGGTGCCCCTTTGGGTGGCATCTGGCAAATTGGAGTACGGAGCTAGGACTTTGAGATCCAAAATAAACAAGCTTCTCCCAGAATATCTTGTTGAATTCCCTACTATAGGACCTCCAATGAACAACAAAAGTTGGGCCCTTCCAATCCATTCGATAAATTGGGAACAGCTTATTGCAGATGTAGTCAGGTGAGATATACACTCTAGTTAATAAGCTCTTTATGGTGGCTGGGTTCATGGGTTTCTGTATTAAATCTGACTGTTTGAAACAGGAAAGGAGCAGAAGTTCCTGAACTTGAATGGTGTGTACCAGGTGAACAAGCTGCAATGGATGTACTGATGGGAAGTAAACATGGGTTTCTAACAAACCGATTGAGGAATTATTCCACTGATCGGAATAACCCGTTAAAACCAAAGGCACTCTCTGGTCTATCCCCTTATTTACATTTTGGACAGATATCAGCACAAAGATGTTCCCTAGAGGCACGCAAATTTCAGAAAAGTTGTTCCAAGGTCTGATCTCCATATATATGCTTTATCTGTGGTCATTTTATAATCCCTTGTTCTTCCAAACTTTCTACATATCTGACTTCTGCATAGCAATGCATGCTTTACTCTTCATTTACCCAATTACCCCGATTGATGTTCATTATGAATGTACAAGAGCGACACTTATACAATGTTAATACTGCTCATGAAGGCAGTTGATACTTTTCTAGAGGAATTGATCGTGCGAAGAGAACTTGCTGATAACTTCTGCTACTATCAGCCTCAATACGACTCATTACTTGGAGCTTGGGATTGGGCACGTAAAACCTTGATGGAACATGCAACTGATAAGCGTGAACATATTTACACGTGAGTTGTAATACATAGTACTGTTCTATATATTTGGAATATTTATTTTATTGAAGCTATTTTCTGTTAAATTTGCAAGGATCATACTTTACTAAATAAGGTCATTGTAATTCATTATTTCCCCAGGGAGTAAATTTGTTTCTGTCCTGAAATGCTTAACTGATTTTTATTCTCTCTGATCATGTGACTTATGAGGAAATTGGTTCATGTACAACACTCAGGGAAGTTAGTTTGAGTTATTTTTAAGTCTTAACCATGTGTCATTATTACAGTCGAGAGCAGTTGGAGAAGGCACAGACTGCAGACCCAGTAAGATACTGCTATGCATATCATACTTAAGTATGCTGTATACATGTGTTTATATTGCTTTAAGCAACCTTTCAGTTGTCTTAAAAAAAGCTTTTAGTGAAAATCCTCATCTTTTATGATGAACATTTGGTCATTTGTTGATCTTAATTGTGTTAAGGGTAACATTACTGCGGTTTCTAATCCGATTCGTACTATTTTTTCTGGTATTCAGCTTTGGAATGCTTCTCAGTTAGAGATGGTTCACTATGGAAAGATGCACGGCTTTATGAGGCAAGTAACTTCTCTTAACATCTTATTGAGATATTTGTGCATCTTATTCCATCACATAGTTGCTCCTTGACTACATATATGCATTTTGTTCTCTTACAAGTTACAACCATTTTGTATGCAGGATGTATTGGGCTAAAAAGATCCTAGAGTGGACAAGTGGGCCAGAAGAAGCTCTAACAACAGCAATATATTTGAATGACAAGGTAATCGGGTGGCACATCACAGTGACCTCTATTGTTGCCACTCCTAGCATTTTATCTAATCAAATTCGGATCTTACCTGCAGTATGAAATTGATGGAAGAGATCCAAGTGGCTATGTCGGTTGCATGTGGTCAATTTGTGGCGTACATGACCAGGTCAGACCTTACTGCCATTACATGCGAGCAATGTCGTTCTTTCTTTAAATCACAAGCACCCCCTCGCCGACCAGAGAAAAACAAGCCAAGCAAAAAGCTAATCTTAATCTTTTTCTCCAAACAACAAACAACACTGGAATAAGTATTTGGGAGTATGAGTAATCATTCGTAACTGGTGAAAGCTTGTGCTTTGATTGAGTTAACAAAAAATCATGTTTCTTACTCAAAACATGAGTGACACCTTGACATAACAATATGATACAAAAAAGCAGTATATTGACTTATGATGTTAGCCGACCCTAGAATCATTTGGAATAAGGATTTTTTTTTTATTTGAGTGAAATTTTCTAGTGAGGTCTGATATGATCTAGTCTGTTTAAGTCTGGTCTAATAGATTTTTGGTCCATGTGTATTTTACAACTATCAAAGACTGGTCTGTCTGTCTAAGTCTGGTTTGTTTAAATTTGGTATGGTGTGATGATCTGATCTAGTCTGACCTGGGATTGAAATAAGTCCAAGTAAAAACATCCCAAGTTAATATATATAGTACTCCGTATATATATTAACTTAACTTGAGTAACTAATAGCCATTGGAGTTTAATAGCGGACAAAATTCATGGCATAGAAACACCAGTCATTGATGATAGATCATATCATAACACATTAGCAGTTTAGCACCTCATGCTTTTTTAGCTTGTAGAATATATAAGCAATGAATTTTCTTGGGAAAAAAAATTGTGGGAATTCATTTAACCCTTGTCATTCAGGGTTGGCGAGAGCGGCCAGTTTTTGGGAAAATTCGGTACATGAATTTTGCAGGTTGCAAAAGGAAATTCGATGTGGATGGGTACATCGGATACATCAAGAGGTTAGTAGCCGAGAAAAAGAAAAGAAAAGTGGAATCGTTGCTGAACGACAAGATCAACGAACTCCATGGCTAGCTTTTTTAGTGATTTTTATCTGAAATAGCCATAATATTAATGTTGTACTAACATCAAGGACAAGTAGTGTATAGAGTGTTGAGACATCAATATTTGCTATCCACAATCAAATGTTATCTTCCTAGTTCGACAAAACTTCTCATGGACTTCCAATTTCTGCATAAATGGAAGCAAAATTATATCTATACGACTCGAGAGTTTCAAACAAACATTTGTCTATGATATGAGGTAAATTAAATGGCTAACACCATTCACTTAAAGACCTCAGGCTGGTTTGCAACTGCTTAAAAAAACATTTCTCGGCTTTTGGTTTTAAAAAGAGATATTACTCGAAATAGGACTAAAAAGGTTTGAAAATTCCAAAATAGGACTGCCATGATTTTATTCCCAAAATAGGACTAATTACTGTCATATTTTGGCAGTACCAGACTTCAAACATGGCAATATTTTTCAAACTTGACAGTAATTACTTCTATTTTAGGAATAAAAAACATGTCAGTCCTATTTTGGAATTATCAAACTGTTTTAGTCTTATTTCGGGAACTTTCCCTTTAAAAAAATACTTATTTACCAAACACTACCAATTTTTACTTTTCTCGGCTTTCGTGTGAAAAATGTTTTTCCCTTTTCTATTACACATAAAACACTTATTTTACCAAACACTATCAACTTTTACTTTTCAAAATCATTTTTTTTCAAACACTATCAACTTTTACTACTCATCAAACACATTGGTAATTTGTTATGATAACCGTCTGTATAAAATAAGCTGTGGTTTAAATTCATGAGCAAACAAACAAGCTTTGTGCCTCTCAATAGACCCACCAGAAAAATATTTAGTCCTACAATCCATCACATTTTTAGTGTGATCTCATGGTACCAAATCTTAAGTCTTATTAGCAAGTAAAGCATGAAATTCAACAGTCATGGCAGCCTGCCAAATAACATTTTTGTTTGCCTGTGAAAAACAAGTAGGATCATCTGGGGAAGAAAAACACTAAAATTAAAAATGGGTTTGGGTTTAAAAATTCCATCTTTAGCTCAGGTTCGATTAGGGTGGTTATTAACGATCAAGGGCGTGGGAGAGGTGTCCAACGATGACTAGGATGTGTCATCCAGATTGGAGGGTATGTCGATTGAGTTTCGTAGAGTATTACTGGCAGCTGTGGGGCTGTATGAAGTGATGAGTGGGGCTGGTGGAGTATTTACGGGTGATCTGAGGTCGGTGGAGTATGGGCTGTAGCCGTGGGGCAAGAAGGCGGTGTCGCCTGGGGTGAGGCCGGGTATATGGAAGAGGGAACCAACAAGAGGTCGATGAGGATGGTAGTATGGGTATAGAAGGAGGTTGCAGACTTATAGATGCAATGGAAGCAATGATGCTAGGCATCGAAAAAGTATAGGACAATGACCAAGGTTCTAACGATAAGGTCGGTGTTGTTAGGAAGAGTCCTAATCGAAATAAGATGAGGATATTGAAAATTCGTTTCATAAAAGCGAACACCACGACAAACATAAACACGACTAAAGGAAGGGTCAAGACAATGATATCCTTTATACCCCAAAACATAGCCAATAAAAACACAGAGTTTGGAGCATCGTGAGAGCTTGTTTGATGAAGCGGCCATAAATTAGAAAAACATGCACAACCAAAAACACATCAAAACTATAATTTGAATTTTATTAAAAAGATTTTCATACGGAGTAATACCACCCAAAATTGGTGTAGGTAAGCGGTTAACAATAAATGTGGCGGTATGAAGAGAATTAATCCAAAAACTAGGAGGAATGGATGATTCAATTAACATTGTTCTATTTAATTCAAGAAGATGTTTTTGTTTACGCTCAACTACACGTTCTATTTAATTCAAGAAGATGTTTTTGTTTACGCTCAACTACACCTTCTTTGAGACCTTTTAACATAATTTCAATTCTTTTTACCAAACAAACCTACTTCATTCAACTAATATTTCAGTTTAAGCACTTCAAGATTCAGTTCCATCCAATAATGTCATTTATCCAGATATTTTCAACTTGTTTTTGCCAAACGAGTCTACTTCATTCAACTAATATTTTAGTTTCAACATTTCAACATTCAGTTACCGACTAATCTTCATGTTCAGCTGGCCTAACGGGAACCGCCGTCCGTCCAAGCCCGTTTGGGGCCTTTCCTGGTGGAATTGTTTTATGAAAATATTTGAGCATGTTCTTCATCAAGTTTAGGTTACCCATACCAAATATCAGCTAAAAATTCGATCAGAAATGCAGTCAAAGGATTTTTTAAAAAAACACGGCGCTGTTTATATATATTAACAGCGCAATATTTTTAAAAAATTTATTTGACTGCCTTCCCGAATGATTTTTTAGCTGAAATTTGGTATGACTTAACTAGACTTGATGATGAACATGCGCAAAATATTTCATCAAAAAATTCGACCGGAAAGGAAACAAAATGGCCTCGGCTGGACGATGGTTCCCGTCAGGCTGGCCGGACAGGAACACCATTGTTCAGTTACATTCAATAATTATCATTTATGACAATATGTATCGATAGGAGAAAATACTACTCCCTCCGTCCCATTAGAAGGTTCCCACTTTCCTTTTTGGACGTCCCATATAATTATATAAAGGTTCTCATTTCCATTATAGGAAACAATTAACAATCTTAAGTGACAAATTAATCATTAAATATTAAAAATCAATGTTCTAAAAGGCGCTAGGCGCTAGTCGGGCGCTAGCCCAGCGCCTAGCGCCTAGTCGGGGACTAGTCGGAACATAGAAATTGCATTTTTATCTATATTTTTGCATAAATATGATTAGGGATGGCAATGGGGCGGGTTTGGGGCGGGGGTACACTCCCCCATCCCCCGCCCCATGTCTAAAAAGTTCCCCCCATCCCCGCCTCATCCCCCGTTACTCCCAGGCCCGCCCCATCCCCACCACACCCCGTTGTCCCCCACGGGTGCCCACGGGTGCCCCCATATAGATTTAATTTAGGGGAAATCGCATTTTTAGTCCTTGAAATAGTCACGAAAATGAAATGTCGGACCTGTATTTGTGATATTGTAAATGTCACCCCTTAATTGTCCAAATTATTGTAAATGTGGTCCTTTAAGAAGTGAAATCACTGAAATGTACTCTCGCCCACATTGTATATTTCACCCCTCAAAGGACCACATTTATAGCTGATATGCACTAATTAGTAGTGCATAAGTGTATGTTTTTATGTTTGATTTGTGTGGTTTGTTTACCGTTTTATTTAGTTTGTAAACATTTGTGTGATTTTAGTTGTAATTGTATTTTAATCTTCATTTGTAAGTTGTAAAGTAGAGTTAGGAATTAGGGTGTTGAAAAGGAGGACTTTGAAGTGAAGAAAAATAAGATTTGGCTGCCCAGAAGCAAAAACCCGACCGGGTACAATACTTCACCCGGTCGGGCATGACAAAGAATCAGAAACTGCTGAGAAAGTCACTAGACCCGGGCGGGTCACTTATTTGACCCGGTCGGGTCAGATGTGACCCGGAACACCAGAACATGCCGAAGATCGCCAGAACGTGGGAAATATTTGATTTTGACGTTGACCCGGTCGGGTATGTCCTTTTACCCGGGCGGGTCAATGCCCCAGGGTGTTGAAAACACCTATAAATAACCCCATTTTCCTTCACAAATGATAACTCCTTCTTCCATACTCTTAAGCTCAGTTTAGAATAGTATTTCTTTTATATTTTTATAGCATGTTTAGTCTCCAAATGAGGAGCTAAACTTCCATTTCTTGGTGTTGCTCTTGAAGCTTGTTGATTATTAAAGTTGTGAGTTATTTTCTTAACTTCTTTCCTTGAATATTAATGCTTCTCTTAAATACTATTTCTATATCAATGTTGGGGAGTGTTGCTAAGATGACAATTAGTTAACATCTTGACATTGGTCTTAGTAATAGCTATTCCTTCCTCTATGTTAATATTGGGGAGTGTTACTAAGATGACAATTAGTTAACATCTTGATATTAACTATAGTAGGATTCATTTTCCTTATTATTCTTCCTTGAGTATTAATTAATTCCTATTCATATTTCATATTAATATTTTTGAACATTACTTAAAGGATCAACTAGTTTTGTTTCAAATATTAATTATTACTAGAAACGATCAACGAACCGATGGTTAATCGTTGATGGTTTCACAAGTAAGTAACTTCGGTTTATTAATGCACGGTCGTGGTTAGTAAACTTAAGAGGGATTAATTTTGTTGGTTAAACCGAAACCGTTGTGTTGAGGTTATCAATCTCAATTGATTTCATCAAGGAGTTAAGAGATTAAATGCTACTATCAAGTAGGTATATGGCGTTGTTCTATACTTGACTAATAGTAAGGGTTATTAATGAACGGTTGTTGTTAATAACTTTCCTCGATGAATTGGATATACTCCTCGATTGAGTATTCGAGAGGAGATAAGTTATAGATATAACAATGATCGACTGAAATATATCAACAAGTGGAAAGTAGCAATGCCAAGTCCTTTTTATCTTTGAATTAAATCACATATAACTCGTTCATCTTCGTGTTTAATTTAATTAAATCATTCAACCCAAAACCCCCCTTTATTTACTAGTTCTATAAAAAGAGAATTATTCCTTTCCATGTGGATACGAACTCTACTTCACCTATACTACGTATTAGTGCTAGTATTGAATTTATTTTGAGTGCACACACGACAAAGTGCACGTCAATAGCATTTAGGACAATTGAGGGACGCTATTTACAAACTTGGGAATATGGGTCCGACATTTCATTTTTGTGACTATTTCAGGGACTGAAAATGCGATTTTCCCTTTAATTTATCGTATTTGCATATACTTTTAATCCATTATAAATATACGTGGTGCGGTTCCAATGAGAATGATGCTTAATGTGAGAACACTCACATTTAATCCAATGTGATACACAATAGAGTCCTTCTAGTGCACATTTGGACTTTGCTCAATACAAGCTAATATAAATAATCATTGTGACACTTTTATAAATATTATGCTTGGTACGAAAAGTGCATTGTGCGAGCCCTTTGTGCGTCACATTGGGGATATATGTGGTGTTCACACGCTCTCACATCAAGCATTGTTCTCATTTGATCCTACATCTATATATATCTACACAACGAAGATATTATACACACACACACATATACATATATACAACCCTAAAGTATTGTATTT